CCTCCCTCCCCTCTCGCCTATGATTCTGTGATTGCCAATTATGCTACCCGCTTACCGTCGCCCGCGCTTCGGAAAGTTGGACATTAGGCTTCGCAGCGTAATGCAGGGAACAAGAAAACGGAATTCACCATGTTAAAGCATAGCGATTTCCCTTGTCTTCTGCCTCGCTCCTCTGCTCCTCTGCATGTCGAATGCTCCTGGCCGCAGAGGACGTTGCTGTTCGTGCAGCCAACGCCAGTGAAGAAGAAAAAGAAGAGCCAAGCTCGGCTCGTCCTCTTCGTCCTCGTCCTCGTCCTCGTCCAAATGTCTTGGAGGAACACTTAGATCGGAAGCAACGTGCTAATGCAATATCCATATTCCCATCTCCTGGGCCGTTCAGAAGACTATTGCATCTGCAGAAATAGAAGAATAATGCGCAAGTGAGTACCGTTCAACTGCTCGTGATTTGGCGTCTTCCCTCCATAAATTTTCGGTCTAAGCAGAGGTCCCTTTTTTTTGAAAACGCTTAACGCCTAACCATCTTTTTAAGATGTGATTTTTGTTTGTATAAAAGCATTTAATCATCCAATATATGAGTCTTTCCTTGTCTAGTACCCTTTCACATTGCCCTCGGGTAACAGAGATCGCACGGGCACGGCACGGGTGACTGTAGCGTGTCGGCATCCTAACCTTTTGCCAGGCGGTCTTACCTCTCCGTTGCAGTACACGCACGCACAACCAGCCGACCTTTTTATTGAGCTCTTAAAGGCCGACTCTGTTTCCATGTTACCTTTGGAGCTTCATAATGGACGGTTTTCTCCCTCCCTGAGGCTTTGATGTAGATCTCGGGGGGAGGGAACAAATTTCGTCTGAGCCCCCTTGTAAACATCTTGATATCTGAACGTATGCTATTCAAGTTAATGATGTAATGTCATTGCATATCTTGAAGTAATCTGTGCATTAATTTCAGGGCCCGGGAGGTGGGGCCGGTGCTTCAGTCACACCCACTCACTCGAGGAGCTGCACCTTTAGGTTGGCCCGGCTGCCTAGTGCTCCTCTCCTAAAGCTGTGGCGGAGAGGGGCAGGTATTTTTCTGTGTGAGACCTGGTGAGAATTCATTAAATTACATTTACTTACACTTTGTGATCATTTATGTTTCGTGTGCTTTTGAGCTGACACTGTTGTAGTACTGTCTTCTTAAATTTTAGGTCAAGGCGGTCGCAGTGGTTCAAATACTTAACAGACCGCTGCTGGCAAGTGTGAAGTGCCCCTCCCATAAGCTGTGTTGGAGAGGGGCAGGGAATTTTCTTGCCACCTAGTGAGAATTCATTTATTTACATTTAATTACATTTATTTACATTTAATTCATGCTTGCACTGTTTCGTGTGCTTTTTGAGTTGACACTGTTGTATTTTGTGACAATTTAGGGCTGGTTGGTGGGGGCATTCATTCGAAGCCACCCAGATAATGAGCTGTTTGCTGCTAGGAAGTTAGTGATATGTCCTTACCTGGTAAGAATTTCTTGTGAGAAATTTGGATTGTTTTGTTATGGCCTTTGTGTGATATTACATCTTGAGTTTTTTTGTTTTTTTTTCTCATAACTGATTTGTAACTTTCTACTACCCCTTCAGGTCTGGCAGCTACGAGTACATCCACCACCCAAGTTTCCAATGCAGATTGCTGGAGCCCACCTCGCCTCTCGCCTCTCAATGAAGAGCACCGGGACGGCATCTAATCGGCGCCACCCAGCGGTCCTTGGATGATAGAAACCAACGATGCCAGCGGTCGGTGTTCTGAGGCGCACGCGTAACGGGTCCCGGCGCCTCTCTGTTGGGTGAGCACTGACCGCCGGCCCGGGGGGGCTCTACAGGGTCAGCTCTGTGCCACCGACGAAGCGTCGCGCTCCAGCGGCCGGTGTCTCCAGTGGGTCTTCGCTGCAACGCACACGCCCTGCTTCTCTCTTGCCAGCAAGATTGGTCTGTTAAGTATTTGAACTACTTCGACGTCGGCGGCGTCGTTCCTGACGGTCCCCGTCAGCAGCGTGTCCCTGGCGCGCAGCGTCAGCTCCCAGGCGTCGCCCGTCAGCAGGGCGAGGGGCTGAAGAGCCGGCGCAGCTGCGGCATTGCGTGCGCCGCCCGCAGGTGCTCCTCGAGCGGGAACGACATGCCGAGCTCCTCGACGGTCGGCCCCGCTCGCTCCAGCAGCATCAGCGTCCAGGCGGGATCTCGGCAGCACACCACCAGAGGTACACTCACCCCTTTCGCGGCTTGCAGGGCATCCCGCTTCTCCAGCAGCTTGTCGTCGGGCGCACTGGCGCTGGCCTCGTGGGCGTCGAGCTCCTCCGGGTTAGCCCGGGCTGCTCCGGTGACGGTCGGTGTTCTGAGGCGCACGGCGTAACGGGTCCCGGCGCCTCTCTGTTGGGTGAGCACTGACCGCCGCTGTCTCCAGTGGGTCCTCGCTGCAACGCACACGCCCTGCTTCTCTCTTGCCAGCAAGGTTGGTCTGTTCAGTACTTGAACTACTTCGACATCGGCGGGGGCGGCCGTGCTCACCATGAGGTGCAGCTCCTCCAGCGAGTGCGCGTGCGCCTGGAGCAGCGACTGCAACGTGGGCCGCGGGAGCACCCACACCATTAGCCAGCGGAGGCCCTGGCCGCGAGCTGGGGCCTGGCGGCGGGGGCTGCGGGACCCACGTGGAGTTGCAGATCCTCGAGCGAGTGGGCGCGCCTGGAGTGGCGAAGCCGAAGGCTGCAGTGGATCCTTGTTGCTCCACACACGCCAAGCTTGTTGTGTCTGTTAATTTGGCAGCAACCTGTTTCATAAACTTTTTGGACTGGAAGCTGAGCTTTGTTGGACAGTATGGTACAGTACAATGTTTAGTATATTCTGAAATCAACCATTAATTCTGGGTCTCATATTGGGCGGTAATATTGCTTTGGTTGCTTTGTCTATCACTTGATCTATGAGCAACAGAATATTTTGAAATAGAATATTGAATTCATGTCATCATTATTTGATTTCATTTTCCACAATGGGAAACGCTGTTCTGCTGCTTTGAGCTGTCAGTTTGAACCCTGTCAAAATCGTACTTTAGGTTACAAAAACATGTACCTCGTTGTGATTGTGATGTTACTTTTCCCTGATCAAG